TTGCTTAATAAAAGAGGGTAATTTCTTGTGACCTTCCAACAAAACTGCCCCAAAACAAAAAACCCAAAGTCACTGCCATTGAGTGGATTCCAACTCACAGCCATCCTATAGGACAGGGTAGAACTGCCCCCCTGTGAGTTTCTGAGACTGTAACTTTTTTCGGCGGTAGAAAGCCCTGCCTTTCTCCCATCTTGTGACTTTACGTACCTGACAGTATCTTCATTCTGCCTTCACAATTAACTGGTACTTTGGCCAAGAGTTGAATTGTGGGTTACAAATCATTGTCACTTTTTTGCAGGCATCGCTTACTGTTACTAGCTCGCTGCGTTGCTTTCCGCCTGTCTGTGACTGGCGTCTCGGGCTTGCCGCACATCTCTGGGTCTCCGGTGTTCAGACTCTCACAGTGACGGATCTGGTCGCGCTGTGCCTGACACGGCGGGCACTCCCAGCCAGGACACTCCTTTGCTGTAGGCAGGCGCCTTTTCCCCAGGGATGGAGGTTTCCTCCGTTTTCTCTTCTTGGAGTGCTTGTATTTTGGGCTGGGTCTTTTACTTTTCTTATCTTTTCACGCTTATCTTTTCCCCCTCCTCTACTGTTTGGGAAATGTCCTCAGCTCTATTTCCTGGGCCTTCTGTGGAGTTGTTCACTTCTGCTGTCATGTTTTTAATATTATACTGTTCTTTACAGATGGGATGCTTTTCCTTATCTCTCTGAGACTGGCAATACCATTTCATTCTTTCCCTTTCCTTCAAGTATTTTCACGTTTCCTTCTCACTGTATCACCTCTGTTCCTCCAAGGTTCCCCCCGCCCCCACCTTGTTTCCAGATGTGTGTTGGTTCTTAGTGATTCCGATGTAAACTATTCAGAATGCAGTTCTGGGGGCCTGCTTAGGCTTGTTGGCTTTAGGGTTCAGTGTATGGTGTTTGGGCTGGGTTGTGGAGCTAGGGCTGTCAGTATCTCTAGGACTTTGCTCTTGAAGTGATTCTGCAGTTTTTGCCATAAAATGAGGAGGGAAAAACTTAGCCGGGCCCTTCCGCCAGTGGGAGCCCAAGATTCATTTGTGGAACTACATAGGACGTAAGGCTCCAGAGAATTCTCCCTATCTAAAGTTGAAGGTTGGAAGGAAAGTGGTCACTGAACAGAGTGCTTGGGAGAGAGGAGTACAGAGGATCAAAGGCATAAATATGATTTGAACAGTCAAAACTGTGTTAGTAGATTCTCCCCC